TAATTCCTAATTCTAAAATTGAATCACATAAGAAATGTGAAATATGTGTTGAAGCAAAAATGGCTAAGTTGCCTTTTCACTCGGTGGAAAGGAGTACTGAACTATTAGGCTTAATCCATACTGATGTATGTGATATGAAAAGTGTGCAAACAAGAACCGGTAAAAAGTATTTTGTAACTTTTATCGATGATTGCACAAGATTTTGCTACTTATACTTGTTAAGAAGCAAAGACGAGGCTGTGGAAGCTTTTAAAATATATGAGACCAAAGTTGAAAATTAACTCGGCAAGAGGATTAAAATAATCCAAAATGATAGGGGTGGGGAGTATGTAGCTCCTTTTGAACAAATATGTTCTGAATATGGCATAATTCATCAAACGACGGCCCCTTATTCTCCACAGCCGAACGGTGTTGCGGAACGCAAGAACCGTACGTTAAAAGAAATGATAAATGCCATGTTGATAAATTCGGGACTACCACATAACGTGTGGGGGGAAGCTGTTTTTACAGCAAATCATATCCTGAATAAAATACCACCTAAAGGGAAAGACAAGACTCCTTACGAAATGTGAAAAAATCGTAAGCCGTCTTATAAATACCTGAAAGTGTGGAAGTGTTTGGCTAAGGTTTCAGTACCTGAACCAAAACAAATGCGAATCGGGCCAAAGACGGTCGATTGTGTATTTATTGGATATGCGTACAATAGTATGGCATAATGATTTCTGGTTCATAAATCAGAAAATCCAGATGTATCTGTTGGTACCACGATTGAGTCAAGGAATGCTATATTCTTTGAGAATGTTTTTCCTATGAAGGAAAGGGCAGAATCTAGTTCTAATAAACGAACGTATGAAACTGCTAGTGGTTCTGTACCAGAGGTTACTACTGAAGAACCGAGACATAGTAAAATGGTAAAAACGGTGAAAACGTTTGGACCTGATTTTATCACATACATGTTGGACGATGAACCGACTTCTATTAAGGAAGCTCTGTCCAGCCCAGATGGACCACTCTGGGAAGAAGCTGTAAATAGCGAAATCGAGTTGCAGAACCATACTTGGGAGTTGGTTGATCTCCCTGATGGTTGTAAACCTTTAGGATGCAAGTGGATCCTAAAGAAGAAATATAAAGCTGATGGATCGATTGATAAGTTTAAAGCTCGATTGGTGTTCAAAGGCTTTAAATAAAAAGAAGGGTATGATTTCTTTGATACCTATTCACCAGTTACACGTTTAGTGTCGATAAGAGTGCTTCTCTCGATTGCTGCTTTGCACAATCTTGAGATTCACCAAATGGATGTCAAGACGGCATTTTTGAATGGTGAATTGGAAGAAGAAATATACATGGAACAACCTGAAGGGTTTGTTGCACCTGGACAAGAGAGAAAGGTGTGTAGATTGATTAAATCATTGTACGGACTGAAACAAGCTCCGAAACAATGGCATTTGAAATTTGATGACGTGATGTTGTCAAATGGTTTCAAAATCAACGAATGTGACAAATGTGTTTATGTCAAGAGTACATCAAATACATTTGTGATTGTATATCTATATGTAGACAATATGTTGATCATGGGGAGTAGCCATGAAGTGATCATGGATACGAAAAGACTGTTGAAAAGAAATTTTGACATGAAAGATATGGGTTTGGCTGATGTTATTCTTAGAATAAGAATTATCAGGACCAATGATGGAATTGTCTTGTCACAATCTCATTATGTAGAGAAAGTGCTCAAGAAATTTGATGCCTATGACGGTGCACAGTCTAGGCATATGTGTAAGACACCCCTTGATCTTAGTATAAATCTGGCAGTCAATAAAGGTCAACCAGTGGCTTAGTTGGAATATTCACGGATAATAGGGAGTCTGATGTACTTGACGAATTGTACACGACCAGACTTGGCCTATCCGGTGAGTAAGTTGAGCAGATTTACGAGCAATCCTAGTCATGAGCACTGGAATGCTTTGAGAAGGGTACTTAAGTACTTGAGGTACACCCTTGAATACGGGCTAAAATACTCGAGATATCCAGCTGTACTTGAAGGGTACTGTGATGCAAGTTGGATATCAGAATCGAGGGATTCTCACTCCACTAGCGGATATGTTTTCTACATTGGAGGAGGTGCAGTTTCGTGGAAATCCACAAAACAAACTTGTATAGCTCGTTCAACGATGGAATTGGAGTTCATCGCTTTAGATAAAGCTGGTGAAGAAGCCGAGTGGCTTAGAAATTTTTTATCCGATATTCCATGTTGGGATAAGACTTTGCCGCTTGTGATGATTCATTGTGATAGCCAAGCTGCTATAGGTAGGGCTCAAAGCAATTTGTATAATGGTAAGTCTAGACATATACGTCGTAGACATAATACCATACGCCAATTGATCTCAAATGGTGTTATTTCCATTGACTATGTGAAGTCTAAGGAAAATTTGGCTGATCCTTTGACGAAAGGATTGAATAGAGATCAATTGGTAGTTTTGCTAGAGGGAATGGGCTTAAAAATCCACAATGTAAAGAATGATCATAGTGGTAACCCTACCATGCTGAGTGGAGACCCCACGAACTTGGTTCAAAGGGAAAACTAAACTATGAAAATTTAGTTGAGCACTTGGAACATATGAATGTCCAGAGCTATTCCCTAGAGCACTCCAAGTGCAAGATAACATGTTGATTGTGGTGAGGGTAAGTCATGTGGACTTTTAATGAATCTCTAACCTTGTAAAGGTGGAGTATGGCAGGATACTCTTGATAGGGAGGTCACATATGTAAGTGTGAAGTGTGGGCCGCTTCAAATGTAAACACTTATGAATCCATTGTGTTGTCAATGGCCAAAACGGACACAACGATAGAACATATGGAGTTAATACTCTATTGTGTAAATGTCATTGATTCGGTGTACAATATGGAGGAATAGTTCAAGGCATCATGTCCACTAGTCCGCCAGTGCATCCGATGATGTTTACAAAGAAAGGTTCAAAGCCGAAAGCTACCTTTTCTGATGCAATAGAGTTTTGTGAGGATTGAGCACATAGTATATTATATTTAATTTACACTCATGTGGGGGATTGTTATAATATTTAATTATTATAATGTTGAGTGTAAATGATGGTTTGTCAGAGGCATATGGCATGGTGTATTAAATGTGGTAGACAACATCCACAATCAATCGGCAGATGTGAATGTCTATTTATGAGATGTCCAAATCAATTCCTCTCTCAACCACTCAATTAATTTGCTGAAGGCGTATGAAGGAAGGAGTCTTCTACTTGCTCCATCTATAATATAGATTGGATTTCATTCGGCAGAGGAAGACAGAAAGAAAAATCACAATACGCAGAAGAAAGAAAGTGAAAGAAAAATAGAGAAAACAAAAAATAATATTTATATTTTTAGTGCTCAATTCTTGATTCCAATCCAGTTCGCCGGAGCTCGTAAATCTGGTGTGCTACAGATTTAGAGACGTTTGGCGTTGTATCTTTGGGGAAGTTACGCCTGAACCGTTAGCAGCCACCCGACGGCGTATTCTTCTTGCGGAAAGAGTTTTACTCGCCTCGGCTAAATTCTTTCTGATTTTTTTTTTTCGGTTTTAATTTAATTTTATCAGTTGTAATATATTTTTTCAGTTCAATTATAATTTTTTATTTTTAAATTATTTGTAAGAACTGAAAAATTACATTTCAGTTAGTAGGATTCCCGTGTATTTTTATACCCATTAATTATCAATTATCACTCTTCACTTTGTTTTTGGTTATGTTATATTTTATGATTCTCATACACAACTCTAAAGTTCAACAACCTTAACAGGTCACTTGTGGCTTGTGACGAGCCAGTCACAGACTCACAATAAATGCCCGAAATTGGATCCTTTGCCTTTTCACCAGTGTCACCTGGCTTTTTGTTTTTTAAATAAAAAAAAAACAAATTCATTAACTAAAAAACACATAAATACAATTGGATGTGAAAATGGGTATATCTATAATTTTTTAAGTTGTGTTTGTGTGTTTAGTGTTTTGTTAGTATTTGGTGTGTTTGTTTTTATTTGTGGGTTGTGTTTTTGTTTTCTTCTCCTTTGGAGGAGCTTGTTTGCTTTCACTTCAAGAAACACGTATGTTCTTTTTTATTTGGAGTATATATCTCATTATTGATGTTGATTTTTTTTCTAGTCCTACGTTAAGGTTCTAAATTGTAATGTTTCATTTGACTATGTATGTCATTCTAGATAAAATACCAGCTATAACTAAATCTAACTACGTAAGAGACAATACAAGCATGACTCGCTTATATACATAAACAACACGGGAATATACAACTCTTAAGAGGGCTTATAAAGAAAATGCTCACCTCTCTCTAAATTTCTCTTTCTAGACGTACCCTTAGCTTCCCTCACCTACATCCTCATCCACCATTCCCCCTTGACCACCACTTCCGCCTAACCTTCCCCGTCAGCCGCCACTGCCGGAGGCCTGCCACGGCCTCCGGGCCAGTCAATTTCTTACACCGCCTACAGCCATGGCTCTTCCACCACTATTATTGTCGTCATCCTCCTCTCCGACAGCACCTCCCTCCCCCTACCCAACCGATTTTCGACCACCTTCTCCCTACCGGACTTGCTCAATCTCTTCTCGCAGCCAGCTTTCCATCATCATGTTTTAAATTTTTTAGTTCCAAGATCTATAGAGCTTCTCATGGAAGAAAGAGAAATCTCTCCCCTTTCGGCCGCATTTCCGAGCAAGCCCGCCGCCAGCGCTCCAGCAGCTCTGGCCTCCAATGCCCTGAGCCCCTCCGTCAGATACGGGCCTTTCACGGCATCTCAGCCGGCCAATAGTGCCACTGCGAACCTTGCTGCCCAGTTACTTTCGGATCCATGCCACCGGCAATGTGCTCGGAGATTATCCAACCGGTCAACGCGCCTTCCCCGATCTATCCCCTTGCTTCAGGTGGCGGAGACCGTAAAAGCCCTAACTCAAAGCTACGCACTCTAACATCACAGCGATTGGACAATGGACATCTTAACCAATCTGGGCCTATTCCCAATCCTAAGTCAGCCCCCTCCCTATATCTTATTGGGCCTCCCAACCTGGCCCAACACCCCATCAATTCAACCTCAACGCATACATCAAACCAGATCCACCCAACCCGTCCACTTCCTGCTACTACACCCCGATCATACAACACCTCGACCCCACTTCCGGCGGTGGCAGCCACTGCCCCTGCTCCGGCTCCGATACCGGCCAGCGACTCCGGCGCTGGCCACCATCAGGTCGCCGGAATTCAAATTTCGGCCGGTATGATCCCAAATATTCTGGCGAACACTATTTTTCCGACGGCAAACAAGCACGGTCAGCGCTCCTCAGCGACTCCGACCATGCTCGCCGGTGCCGGTACCGGCCACCGCCATTTTGCCGGTTTGTTACTCGGATTACTAGGACAAGGCTCTAATTCTTCGTTGGGACCTACTTTACTGACGACCGGCTCTTCAGGCCCGCTCCCCAATACTACTAAGCCCGGTCAGCCCCCGTTGGGCGCCATTTTGAGCTCGTCTAGGCTGACCACTACGACGGCGACACCGGCCTTGGCCTCCGCCACCACCCGATCCTTCCGGGATGCGATTATCGACAATCCTGCCGGCAAGTCGGGTTACCAGAGACGATCGCTTGACTCATTTCGAGACAAGCAATGGGGTACTATCACGCGATCCGAGGAAGGACGGTTTACGGTTAGTTTCCCTGATCATGATATTTCTTCCTTAGTTGAGCCGTTTGCGAATGCCCTTATTTTTAAGTTTTTCTTCTCTATCCCCACCCTCGAGATTTATCTGTTGGATTAGCAAAATTGGGTTCTAAGGGTAGGCTTGCTTCTAGGTATTTAAACTTTAATCATTACATTGTGTTTTTTGATTTGAAAGAGCACTATAACTCAGTGTGGATTAAATCGTCTATATCCATTTGTTGGTGCACGGCCCGGGTGTTCAAATACACCCCAGATTTCTCCCTCTCGTCAGAGTCTCCCATTGTCCCAGTCTGGTGCTGCCTACCAGGCCTCCCCGCACACTTTTTTGGCTCCACTGCCCTTATCTCGATTGCCACATGCATTGGCAATCCGATTGATGTTGATGACGCCACGGCCAACAGGTCAAAGTTCTCTGTCGCACAGGTGTGCGTTGAGATAGATCTACGTGGTAAGCTCATTTAGGAGATTGAGCTCTCCTATGGAGGAAAGACCATCACTCAGAAGGTGATCTATGAGAGAGTTTCTCCATATTGTACCCTCTGTGACCATGTTGGTCACACACTGACTGATTGCTACACCAAGGGCAGCAAGCCCCATCCGTCACTTCCTCCACGCCACCGAGTGGCTAGATCGGGGACCTTCGGCTATTTCGAGGGACTAAGGGGAGGGGTAAGGCCCCTGTCTGAGTGTCGGAGTCCCCAAAGGGACAGAAGGACAAGGGAAAGGCTATTATCCAGCCTAACCACCCCAAGGGAATTACCTTGGACAAGCCAATGTTCAGAGCTACGGGGTTGTTCCCCCGACAATCCCTCCATACGGCATCCACCCATGGGCATTCACTCCTTCTTCTCAGTCCTCGCTTCAGAGATGGAGGATGAGCCTGGTTCCACATCCAGCCACCTAGTACACTCTACTAGCTCTCTCCTTGATGATGATGACCTCTTGGACCACGAGACAGGACCGTTTGCCTCCTTAGCTAATAGCCTTCATTCCCCTCTCATCGCCTCTAGCTCCCATACCACTGTGAAGCCTAGTGACCCCTCTATCTCTATGGAGGAACCTCATGAGCTGAGGTCCCCTCCTGCCTCCACTCCCGTAGTTGGATCAGAGACTTTCCCTACACCCTCTCCAGCGAGTGAGCATTTGGTGGTGCTCACCACCAGACCCTCCTCTCCGTCCACAATTGCAGCCCTTTTGACCCGACCCTCTAACATCCCCTCTCCTCCCCCCAAGAGTCGGGACACACACCTACCCATGACCGGGCTCTGATCGTTGCAGGCCCGGGAGGCCCCCAGTTGCCCCCACTGGAGGACCTCCAGTCGGAGAGCCCAAATCACCCTCGGACTAGATCTCTGGAGAATATTCTTTCTGAGAGACCTGCCCACCACCATCCTCAGACCAGATCTAGGGTCGCGCGACGCTCGGTTAACTGACCCTTACTCCTCTCAAATAGACAGACACAGCCTAGCCACGGGCAGAACCAGTAAGATGGCCCCCTTGACATTTGATATGTCAGTCACATACCTAACCTGGAATGCCCGTGGCCTGGCTAATAGGGCCACTCATGCTCACGTTCGATCCCTAGTTCGTGACCATAGTATAAACTTTGCTGCTTTCCTAGAGCCCATAACCCATAACCCCTCGTTTGACGTATATTCTCGACACCTTGGTTTTCACTCCGGCGTGGGAAACATATCTAACAAGATCTGGTTCTTTTATTCGCGAGACTTTATATGTCGGATCATCCGTGACACGGAACAGGTCCTGCATATTGAACTCTCTGTTGCTCACCTCCCAGAACGAATCTTTCACACTCTGGTCTATGCTAGCTGTGCGAGGGTTGGTCGATATGATCTGTGGGACACCATGCGTGAGATTGCTGAGAGTATGGAGGGATCACCGTGGATGGTTAACGGTGATTTCAACATCTTTCTTCACCCCGATGAGCGCATTGGTGGTCAGTCGGACCGCTCTGCGGAGATCTTAGATTTCTCCCAGGCTGTGGCGGATTGCGAGTTAATTGAAGCTGGATATGAAGGCTCTCCATTCACATGGGAGAGGGCTGGAGTTAAGGAGAGGCTTGACCGTGCTTTGATCTCTGAGGCATGGACGAGGGTGTTTGCGGTCACGACCGTCACACACCTCCCTCGAATTAAATCTGGCCATGCTCCCCTTCTTATCCGTTGTCGGTTCTCGAGAACCCCACGTCGCTTCTCCCTTAGGTTCCAGAACATGTAGACCCGCCACCACACGTTCCATGACACGGTTAGGGCTTGCTGGCACCATCCGACGGGGCTTTTTGGGATGCGAAACCTGGAGGCGAAGCTTGATAGACTAAGGCGCAGTTTGAAGCAGTGGAACTGGACAGTATTTGGAGACATTTCTCAGCACCTTGCTGCAGCTTAGAATGCTTATGTAGTTGTTGAGCGAGCTTATGATTTGGATTCGACTCCACAGAATAGAACCGCGATGCGCCGCTGCCATGCTGAGTACCAGCTCCGCCTCCTTATGGAGGAGGATTTCTAGAAGCAGAAGGCTGCGGTTCGCTGGGTTGCGGAGGGGGAACGTAATACCAAGTACTTTCAGGGGTTTGTGAGGCAGAAGCGAGTTAAGTCGTATATCCATTGTATTGAGGATAACGGGTCTTCCTTGACTCAGGAGTCCGAGATACAAGAGTCAGTTGTAACACACTTCCAGTCCCTCTTCACCTCAGATCGCTACTTGCTTACGCTCCCCGACGCTGCCGTTTTCCCTACCATCCCACAGTCAGTCGACCCGGTTGACCTCTGCGACCTCCCGAGTAGAGAGGAGATCAGGGAGGCTGTTTTTGGGATTGATCCTAACAGTGTCTCTGGCCCGGATGGCTTCTCGTCTCTTTTCTTTCAGGCCTGCTCGGAGATTGTGGAGACTGATGTTGAGGAAGCTATGGTGGATTTTTTCTCGGGCCACCGAATGCCGAAGTCCTTCACAGCGACCTCTATTGTTTTGATACCTAGGAGACCTAGCCCGAGTTCCTGGTCCGACTATAGACCTATCAGCCTTTGTAAATGTGACCAACAAGATCGTCTCCAAAATCCTTAATAGTCGTCTAGCTCACCTCCTACCTTCCCTAGTCTCTCCGAACCAGAGTGGATTCATCAAGGATCGAGTCATCATTGATAATATCCTTTTGGCCCAGGAGATGATCCATGACATTTCCCATGCGAAAAGGTCACGAGCCCCGAATCTTGTGCTAAAGCGAGATATGGCTAAGACATATGACATGGTCGAATGGCCGTTCCTCAGGGAGATTCTGTCTCGAATGGGCTTCCCTGAGCGTTGGATTAGTTTTGTGGAGGCGTGCGTGGAGCACTGCACGTTCTCGGTTCTTCTTAATGGTAGCCCTACTGACTTCTTCCCTTCCACCCGGGGTCTTCGGCAGAGAGATCCTCTATCCCCCTCTCATTTTGTCCTTGCAGCGGATTACCTGTCCTGTTGCCTTGACGGCTTTATTCACGACTTTCCAAGGATGACCTATAGCACACGTGGGTACGGTCCTGCCATCTCTCACATATCTTATGCGAATGACATTATTATCTTTACTCGTGCGGATAATAATGGACTGACTGAGCTCATGCCCCTCCTGAGCACTATAGCTCGGCATCTGGTCAGCTTGTCAGTGTGCAAAAGAGCACCTTCACCCTTGATCAGCATATTGTGGACCAGTGGGACCATTGGGTCCACGAGCGCACTGGCTTCGCTCGTGGAGACCTCCCCGTCACCTACCTTGAGCCCCCTTGTACAAGGGTCATCTCACGCATGAGCTTTTTTCTGACGTTAGACAGAGGATGATTGACCGGATCTCCGGTGGTCTCAGAGACATCTATCATTTGGGAGCCGGCTTGCTCTGATCAAGAGCACCCATGCACCCTGCCGCTTCACCTTCTTACAGTTCTTGATCCCCACCAGTCTACTATCCAAGAGGTAGATCGGATTCTGGCCCGTTACTTTTGGGGGCACGGAGAGGGTTCTCGGAGAGGGAGACAGGTCCATTGGGTGAAGTGGGACTCTGTGTGTCGCCCCTTATCTGAGGGGGGGTCTCGGGATCCGGCGTTTCTCGGATATCGTCACTGCATTTTCTTACAAAATGTGGTGGCGATTTAGGGAGTGTAAGTCACTTTGGGCTTAGTATCTTTGCCGGAAGTAATGTCCTGGAGGCGCTGCCCATCCCTGTTGGGTGACGGCTACTGCCCACCATAGCAGGCAGTGGAGGCGGCTCACCAGGGTTGGTAGACGTGCTCAGGAGCACATTTTTTGGTCTCTGGGGCAAGGGGAGGTTAGCTTTTGGGATGAGTGGTGGTTCGGTGAGGGCCCCCTTTCGAGCACTAGACAGGTCACCCACCTTCCCTTTCTACAGGTGAAGGACTTATGGACGGAGGGGAGATAGGATAGGGATAGGCTAGAGAGGACTTTGGGTACTGGAGCGGGCTTTAGTGATCAGGTGATAGATGAGATCCAGCAGATTCCGATCTCGGAGGACGGTTTGGACGGTATGAGGTGGAGGCTTACATCTTCGGGTGCATTCTCTACGACCTCGACTTGCGGGGAAGTACGGCAGGGTGACCGACCTAACCTTCTCATCGGGGCCATCTGGACCGACCTACTTACCCTACCATATCTGTTTTCCTTTGGAGCCTCCTTTTGCGCCACCTACCGATTGACACCGTGATGCAGAGGAGGGGATTCTCCTTCCCCTCGCGTTTCTACTGTTGTGCCCAGGCTGGCGATTTTCAGATAGAGACCTTTACCCACCTGTTTTTAGATAGCGAGACTGTGAGGAGAGTGTGGGAGCATTATACCAGTTACACTCATATCTCCCTACCCTCCACAGATACACTCTTTGAGCTTTTGAGTTTTTTCAGACACCGCACACACAGTAGACACGTGAGCTTCCTTATTCCTTGTTTGATCCTTTGGGCCATCTAGACAGAAAGGAATAACGCGATGCATAGGGATAACCCTCTTTTGTCTTCTCATATTATTTTGTAGGTTGACCGACATCTTTCCCTCCTCACCGCTTTGGGCAAACTCACCTAGAGAGACTGGATAGGCTGGACACCACCTCACCGCCTTGCACCACCTCCGCTGGTGCTTGTCCAGCATCCACGTCCCAGAACTGTTGTTTGGCTGAAACCCGAGTCGCCTTGGGTTAAGCTAAACACTGATGGAGCCTTTGATCGACTTACTGGAGTTGCAGGAGGTGGGGGCCTGATTAGGGATCATAGCGGCGCCCTTATTGCCGCGTTTCATGCCCCTCTTCGGGCCTCCTTGATCTATGACGCAGAGGTTCAGGCGCTTCAGATCGGTCTGTAGATTGCCGCCTCGATCTCCTCTCACATTTGGATAGAGTTGGACGCAGCCGCTTTCATTACTCTTCTGTCATCTGGACATCAGGGCACGTGGCAGATCCAGCATCCTCTCATGCGCATCAGAGCCACTCTCCAGTCGATTCGCTCCCGGATCTCACACATCTTCTGCGAGGGGAACCGGCCAGCTGACTTCCTCGCTGGCATCGGGTCCACCACCCCCTACAGACGCATTCTTTATCCAGACGACATTCTTATCCGCCTCCGCAGCCTTATACGGATGGACCAGATGGGATACACTTCATTCAAATTTGTGTAGCCGGACCTACCTTTTGGCGCACCCGCCACACTGTGATGCTGACATTCTAGCTGGGATTCCCCCCTGGAACATGATATGTTATTTTCATATTTCCCGTTGCAGATGTCAGCTTTTATCTGTATTTTTTCTTTTCTTCGTTGTTTTTTGGCTTTTCATTTGACTGGATGTATATCAGACATTGGACTTGTAGTTTTGTGACTTTTCGGCCCATTTAGGGCATTTTATATACAGGTTGGGGGTTCTGCCTTAACCCCCCACCCTACTGGGGTGTTGGTTAAAAAAAAAAGAAAATTGATGTGTCATGAATTTCTATGTCGAGTTAATAAAATCACATATAAAAAATAATTATTCTATTACAAAAATATCACCGCCCTACTTTCTACATCGGTTATAATACACCCGATATACAGAGTTGCCTTCAAAATGTGTTTTTTCTACTAGTTCATGCATTTTCAATAAATTAATGTAAGTAAATTGTATTACATATTAACTCCTTTTATGCTATAAATATCATTAAATATTGTTTTCTCGGGTATCTCATTAATCATGTACTAGAGAGAGAGAGAGAGGAAGAGAGAAAGAGAGAGTGTGTGTACTAATAGTGG